AAGTAGATATGGATTCATATTTTCTTGCACCACCGAATTTTCTTGGTTTGAATCCATTTTTTAAATAGGGTAAAGTGTCTACTTGACTTGGTTTGATATGAAGGAAGTATAATAAATCATATACCGTATTTATTTTCAAGAAAAGAAGAAAATACAATAATTTATATACACACTAAATCGTATAATTTGTATAAACATAAAATACACATAAATACAATGGAAATACAAATATAATACACAAGACTCTTCAACTCCCAACATTTAATTTTCGCATATTTCAAGGCTTGGAATTTAATAAATTGCACGGGGCGCCCTATTTGGTCACCCCCATTTAACCTATACCCATTTTTTAAAAAGTTTTAACTTGTACCTACTTTTTAAACAACTTCAGCCCCCTTTCTCCTCATCCTTCTCCTCCTCAAAGTTATATCCGCCCTCAATCCGAATTCAAAGTTGAGAGATTTTTCATTGATTCAGGAATCACCCCTCCAAAGTTATTATCATCCAAACCTAATTCCTCAAGATTTGTGGCATTTGTTAAGGACGAGATGAAGCTTAGGTCATCATATCTCCGCTTCCCAGGAGGTTGCTGGATATGCTTAAATGACTAAGCTTATACAATTTCTCCAACTTAGGAACTTGACTTGTAAGGCTGTTGCTATCTACGAAAAGATACTCAAGATTCGACAAATTTGATAATGAAATAGGAAGTGGTCCTGAAAAAGAATTTTCAGATATGGCTATGTAGTAAGGTTGTATTGTGGGCCGGGGCCGGGCCTAAATGGGCTAAATGGGTCGGGCCAAACGGTCTTGGGCTTAGCGGTCCTAGAGGGTGGAACCGGCCCACTACGGGCCTAAGCCCACATGGTCCCGGGCAAAATGGGCCGGGCTAAACGGGCCTAAGTATTCCGGGCTATTTATTTTTTTTAAAATTTTCTATCTAAAGCAATTTCTTGTAAATTATATATATATATATATATATATATATATNCAGGAAACATAAAGATACACTACTAGGCTCAACACATACATGTCATTGTTTAGTTACGACCGCCTAGTATTCTCTGCTCCAACCACTTAAATTTGTCTTCCAGCGTATTTTTTTCTTCTTCCACCTCTTTGAGTTTCTCCTTCAACTCCGCAACTTCTCGTTTAGATTGTCGCTCTCTTTCCCACTGCTTCAAACACAAATAATGAAGATACTGCAACTTTTCTTTGTAGTATTCTTACTGACAGGATTCATCAATCCGTACCTCAAAATTGCAAACAGGTTCGTCGGGAACCCTATAAAACTTGTTTATACACGCCCAGTAGCGGCGTCCAGCTTCACCATCATCCCAACAGTCTTGCATCATGCATTTTTTGCCGCACTCGCACCTTGGCACATAAAGAGGTTCAGACATTTGTTAAAGCGTAAAGAAAAACTTTGCTTTTATGGAAATATTTGCTATTGGTTATTGTTAAGCGCAGAAAATAACTAGAATGTGCCCGTTATTTGTAGACAAGCCAACACACAAAACGTAGTATAGTACCGCGCTATATATATTCATTTTTTCTGAAACGAAACAACTTTTTTGCAGTCGGTTAGCTTTTCAGACCGACAAGACAATACATAAAAAGTAGTCCACCACCACCTACACATATTCACTTTTTCTGAAACGAAACAACTTTTTCGCAGTCGGTCAGCTTTTCAGACCGACAAGACAACACACAAAAAGTAGTCCACCACCACCTATACATATTCACTTTTTCTGAAATGAAACAGCTTTTTTGCAGTCGGTCAGCTTTTCAGACCGACAAGACAACACACAATTTATGCTTTTAAGTTGATTTGAGATATTTTGTGTTAAATTATATGGCTTATGTGTGTGTGTGTCTATATATATTAAGATGAACTAGGTATCAAAGCTGCAAATTAAAGTTTACATTTAATACTTCAAATTAAAGTTCAATGCTTTCAACATAATACTTCAAATTAATCTAACAAACTAAAACATTAAGCATAATACGTCTAATAATTTTAAAATAACAGAAATTGTCTCAAATCAACTTAAAATCTTAAATACGAATGTCTGGAGAACGCGCAAGACAACTCTTTATATGCCTCCTTAAACTGTCTGTGCCCTCCTTTGGACGACGAGTGTAGACTCGAACACAGATCTTGCACTTTATTATGTAAATTTCTTCATTTTCTTCTACCACATTAAAGTGTTCCAAAATAAATGGGTGCAATCTAGAATCACCGAGCATGATTTAACTTGAATTAAGAATTTGAGTTTGAGAAATGAGAGATGAGTGAAGACTTGAAGACTTGAATACTTCAATTTGAGTTTGAGAAATGAGAGAGATTGATGATTTTGTGAGTAAAAATGAAAAAATGAGGGGGTATTTATAGTTGAGAATAGGGAAAAAGTGTGATTACAAAAAGTTTGGGGGCTAAATGGCTAAAATGGCAGGCCAACGACTAGTTTTTAAACTTCTAATCGTCGGCTTTTTAAATTTTTTTTTTTAAATAGCCATTGGGCCCGTTAGGCCCGGTTGAACCGGCTCAGGCCCGCCTGCCGGTCTCATGCTAAACGGTCCCGAGCTCGCGGTCTATTTTGGGAGGACCGACCCATAGTGGGCTTTTAGGATCGTTAGGGACCGGCCCATTTGAACCGACCCGTTTGGCCCGTTTGCTAGCGGTCCCGGGCTAGGGCTGGCCCACAATACAACCTTACTATGTAGTACAAATTAGGAAGAGTGATTCCCCAATATGGTGGAAGAGTCCCTTTGAATTTGTTCAGTTACAAACAAAAACTTCAGCTCTAGAGCTGAAGTTCGCCAGTTACGAACAAAAATTTCAGCTCTAGAGCTGAAGTTCGACAGTTACAAAACAAAAACTTCGCCAGTTACAAAACAAAAACTTCAGCTCTAGAGCTGAAATTCACCAGTTACAAAAACAAAAACTTCAGCTCTAAAGCTGAAGTTCGTCAGTTACAAAACAAAAACATCAGCAATTACAAACAAAAACTTCAGTAAATAGAGAACAAAACTTCAGCTACTATGCTTAAGTTCAGCAATTACAAACAAAAACTTCAGCAAATAGAGAACAAAACTTCAACTATTATGCTTAAGTTCAGCAATTACAAATAAAAACTTCGGCACACTTGCTACTTCAGTCCCGTCTACTAGAATGCTGAAGTTTTGCGTGATTGTCTTTGCTACTTCAGCCCCGTATGCTGAAGTTACGCGAAAAAGTAGGTACGCTTGCAATTTTTTTGCAAAATGAGCACAAGTTAAAACGTGACCCAAAAAACGTATATATATGGAAATGCCCCCGTTTAGCATCACCCTTTATTAAGATAGTTTTTAAAATTTCTCTTAGAAGTTGAAAATAACTCCAAAACATTGAACTATGTAGCTAAAATTAATGCTAGGAGTTGAAAACGCTTAGGGTTGAATAAGATTCATTACAATTCGCACGTTCTGTAGCCATCATTTTATCATTTAATAGGATCCAAATTACATAGCCAACTTCACTGTGCATTATCCGATGAAACTAAATCATTAAGAAAACAACTCCATAATCCTTGACCCATTAAATATTTACTATAAATTACAAAACAAATCAAGGGTAAAAGAAAATTAAAAAAAAGATTCTTTGACACATGGAACCATCAAGCATTTGAAAAAAGATCTTGTAGTAAATAAGTGAAAAATAGAAAATACTGGAGGAATAGAAAATACACAGGTCTTCGCTCAAAGAAAGGTGCAGTATCAACGGCAACACAGCAGCCTTTCAACTATTTCATGTGTGTGGGCAACAAGATTGATTCGAAGAGGAGCAAAAGACCTTGTATACCCATATTTTTGTAGAGTTTTATTTGCAATTTTGAGAAATGGGTCAGAGCTGGAATTGCTGTTAAAACCCTAGTTTGAGTAAATATATATATATATATATATATATATATATATATATTGTACAGAGGAATAGAAGGGAGGGAAAAAGAGGAATGCCATCAAGCATTTAATGGGAGGATATTTTAGACGGTAAATTTAGAGAGAAATTTGGTCGTTTAGTTTCTAACGGGTATTTTAGTAAAATGAGTTCACACTATTAAAAGTCTTCACACTTAAAGTCATAACTGAAAAGTTAGCTTGAGATAAATAAAACAAAATAATACATGATCAAAGTTTAGATATTTTAGTAATTTAAATAATTAGAATACTTGAAAATTATATAAAAATAAAATGGTACAAACGTTTTGAAACGACCCGAAATGAAAAATGTTACGCATACCTGAAACAGGTTGTGACTAGTCATTTACATAAAACATAATGTTCCTGTTAAAGAGGTTTCAGTTTGGAACACCGTCATACGAAATGCTGAAGAAAACTGTAGTAATCTATAAGACCACTCCGAATATCAGTTCCTTTTCAGTGCGTTAACTGATCAATACCAGCACAGCTTAAGATTTGGCACATCATCATTTTATACAGAGAGTGAAGAAAGTGATCCACTGTTTCACTTAACAAGTATACAGGGTTTGTGACCCAATTTCCCGCTCCAGTAATGTTTTATGAGCTACCCTGCAATCTCTCCTTTCGAAGGCGCTCTAGTTCTTTGGCCATTTGCCAATGTTCAAGGGTTAAAGAGGTTTCACCAAAACTTAGTGATATAAGACGTCCCATTGTCAGCAACCTGCAGCACACATCGGTTTTAACACAACCAATGGCGTGACATGAAAACCAAACAAATAAAACTAATACTCCAACTGACCTGCTGAAATCTTGGCTACTTAAGCTTCTATCTGCCTGCCTGGCAGCTACTAAGTCATCTTCTACCACCTGTAATGTGGCAATCAATAATGAGTTAGTACTACTTTGAAGGCTTACGATCACAAACAATAAGCATGGAGCTTTAAGGGGATTTTTACCAAGGCGCAATCAATAATGAGTTAGTACTACTTTGAAGGCTTACAATCACAAACAATAAGCATGGAGCTTTAAGGGGATTTTTACCAAGGCGAGTGGTTATTGATCAACTATCAAAATCACTGTAACATAAAAAGAGTTTAAATGGAAAACAAATGTTTATACCAAATTTAAAGTGACCATTTTTTTTTCTGAAGTGACCATTTTATTTTAACAAAATGTTTGGGAGTTTTGAGGTTGCATGGAATACAAAGTGTTTAAACTCGTCTTCTGACTTTGTCTTAAACCATGAGAGGCAGATGTCTAGCATAAACTCTTACCTTCTGCATTTCTTGCTCAATAGAGTGTGACAATGATCTCATAGTAGCCAGGTACCATCTCCAAGATCGCAGCACTTCTGTCTCAACATCTTGAGCAGCATCTAATGACAATGGACGGAATGGTAAAACCAAATCTGCTGGGAGTATATTGGATTTCCCCTCAGAAAGAACTAGCAACTGAGTGTCCGCAGGTATGTCCATCTTATAATAAGTGAAGTCATATTCAACCTAGAAAAAGAAGGGAAGAACAAGTGGATATAAGATAACTTCAGTTTATACTTCCGAAAGCAAATACGCCTAAACAACCCAACCTGCATGAATATTATTAAACTGGTATTATTATCATACCCAATTATTATCTATTACTTTGGCATATACTTTTAACCTGGTATTATTTTCATACTCAATTAATATCTGTTACTTTTTCATATATTACTGTCTTCCAGTATGCGGACACAAAAGAAAACATATTTGCAAAGATAAGCATCATTCCATAATTACCTTTTGCAATTCCAACAAGCTTTTCAGGACCCTTGCGTTATCAACCCCAGTAGAGTTAAGAGTCCCTGCTTGTAGTTGTGTCTCATCAATGGTTAAATGAGAGCCTTCAGCAAGTTGCAGTATCCCTGATACCAGTCTGAAGCATCCACCACGAAATTACACAAAAGGCTAATAATGACATGTCAACTGAACATAAATATCACTAAATCTGGTTTATCATATTGAACTACCAAATACCTGTTAGTTTGATAATCTTTTCTTGGGGCAAGAGAAACTTTGTTAAGGTAATCCACTGTTAAAGGTACATAATGTGTAAATGGTAGAAGGTTCTTGAGTGCAAAATTAAGACGATGACCAAAAATAGACAGAGTTTCCTTGGTAAAACATGTTAGGTTCAAGGAAAGCTTTCCAACAGCAATTGAATCCACTCTGGCATGCACCTGAAAAGAAGAAGGTACTTGATATCAGTATCTCACAAATAGAAAGTCTCTAATCTATCCAGCTACAGGTAAGACGAGTGAGTCATTTTCATGCCTTAGACAACAGATGCAATAACATGAAATTAGCTGCAACACCATCATTTCCTAGGACAGTCGTGAGGTGCCCTACTAGAGCTTCCCTTATTCCTTTCACCAGTTGTGATTTAAGCTGCAACAATAATAATAGATGAGCAAGAAGGATCATTAGTCATAACAAGCAAAACAAAAACAGTAATTAGTCTAGAATGCAAGAAAATTTTATGCTCGCGAAGTAGCCCAACTGGCATTATTTCGCAGATACTGTCAGAAAAACATCCCCTCCTATCCCACCCCCCTCCAAAAACATAGAAAAATAAAATAAAAAAGATCAGAATAAATAGGTAAAGATAATAAGAGTTTGCCATTCAACTACCTCGAATGTGAGTGGGCCTGAAATAAAGTCTTGAGCGGTAAGCTTCCTGTGAACAAGGCAATGGAGTCGAGGTACCTGAAACAAAGAGGTGTCTTTAAGTGCATGCTCAAGAGNGATCGGAGCATTTTTCCTTGGAGATGGAAAATTCGCCCACCAAGTTTTATCAGTTTGCAAATTCTTCCTAAGATAGTTAAAAGAATGAAATTGGATGATATAAGGATGAGGTGCATATGCAAAGTTCAGCTTAAATGAGCAACTCAAGATTTACCTTCACAAGACATGGAAAAGAAGTTGTGTCAAAATTTGGAAGCACACTCGTAGCAGAACCAACTCCCTCAGTTGGAGTGCTTCCTGAATTTGATGAACCTGAAGCAATTCCATCCTCTCGCTGGTTTATTAACAAAAAAAGGAAGCTTATTAGATGTTGATGGACAAAGAGTTGATAAAAAAACAGATAATGCAAACATTTTATTAATAGCAACCAACATAAGCACAAGTTTACATACACAATTTTCAAGTCAAGGACAGCTAGTAATTGAAGGTTGAACAAAGTAAGACAATGAAGTAATAACAAACTCAGTGTGCCATACCATCTTTTTGTTGGATGTGGAATCATGAACCTCCTCATCTGTGACCTATCAATAAAAACATCATTAAAATGCCTTGTGTTAATATGCTTATTTGTCATCTGGTTAATTTATAGCAAAATAAAATTCCGGAATATCCAGACAAAGAGATGGATATCTACTTGCATATCGACGTCATTCATTGCTAGATCATTGTCCCTCTGGCGCTTCTCCCTCTGTGGAGATGAAGAAATTGCGCATGGATTTAGCAAGGCTCCAGAAGAAGGTTCAATCCATGAATTCTGCCCTGGAACCTAAATCAAGACAAGAATACATAAACAACTTTGTAAACATAAGCAAATATGAGTTTCAGTTTATCTATTCCATCAATGTAAAAAAGAATTATACAAGAGTAAGTCTGCTTGAAAAGACAAGAACGAAATTCTCTTAGAAAACAACTGACGAAAAATAATCACTCCAAGCTAAGATTATAACTCCTACTAGAAATCAAATTTAGGAAATTTATCCAACCTATGAAATATTTATATGACACTATTTCTTTATATGTCTGTTCCAAAAGATGACACATTACTATATTTGGAAACAATTCAAATTTAAGCTTTTAGCAACCTAAATGCTATAGTATGTTTTAGATCACAAGCTTGAAAAAAAAATCTTTACTTTCTTAAATTGTATGCCTTGTCAAAGGAGGGAATATAAGATAATCATTTTTATAAATACTAACAAATTAAATTTATTAAAGCCTAACATGAATTTTGTTTTGATACAGAAAGTTTATTTACTTGTGAAAAGTAGTGGCCGTAGTCAGTGGAGAAACAAGGACTTACAGGAACACAGTAAAGTAAACGCCGCTCCCACACACGCATGTCAGGTGAAGAACCCGTAGCCATAGGGAATTGAGACAAGTCAGCAAACTTATTTGTTCTCCAAGTTTCTCCCTCCTTAAATTAGAACACCAAAAAAAAAACAAGTGTTAGAAAAAAATTGGTCAAAGAAGACATTAGGTTCTCTGTCAGTATGAGAAATCAAGGGACAAATGATACCTTGTATGCGCCAACATAGAATTCATTACCCAACATGTCTTGTATCATTCCCCGAAATCGAACTAGAGTGTTGGGCTGCACCCATGTCATTGTTGAAGGATTCAGAAATGGAACCTTAGAAAGACCGCCATCGTCAAAAAGGAACTGACTGAAAAGATCAGTGGCGCCCCAGTCCTTGCCGTCGAATGTGGCTGGATCAGAGCCTGAAGCTACCGCCTTTTCAAATGTCAATCGGACGGCTCCCAGTGGATTTGTGAGGCAATCATACGGTAAGCCCACCATTTTTAATTGTATTCTCTGATCAATTGGAAAAATGATGAGACGAAATGCAGAGAGGCTAGGGTTGAAGGAGAATGGCAGTTAGTGGCATTCCCTCTCCGAGTCCTAAGTAGGTGCACGTTTTCCCGCCAAGTTGTGGAGGCTGCTGGATTTCCCGCCAAGTTTCAGGGCCCAGTTTTGGACTAGGCTCTAATCGGACGATTCTGCAGTCCGGCCCAACCTAAAAGAACATAGGGGGAAGTGCACGGTTAGCCTCTAATAACCCATGTATTTACTTTTAAGTCACTGTTTAAAATGTCTTTAGTCTTTAGCCACTACTTTAATAAACTTTAACTGTCCTGATGAAAATACCTTTCTGCTCATGTCCTTAACTTTTGAACTTAATTTCAAGACTTCAGGACTATATGTCCTTAACTTTTGAACTTAGAACTCTAAGTTCAGGACTACATGTCCTTAACTTTTGAACTTAGAACTCTAAGTTCAGGACTACATGTCCTTAACTTTTGAACTTGAAACTCTAAGTTTAGGACTTCAGGACTATATGTCCTTAACTTTTGAACTTAACTTCAGGATTTCAGGACTACATGTCCTTAACTTTTGAACTTGGAACTCAAACTTCACGACCACGTCCTTAACTTTTGAACTTGTAAGTCAAAGTTAAGAACCTATTGTCCTTAACTATTGATCTTGTAACTGTAAGTTAAGGACTGTCTGTCCTTAACTTTTGAACTTGTTAGTCTAAGTTTAGGACCAAGTGTCCTTAACTTTTGAACTTGTAAGTCTAAGTTCAGGACCAAGTGTCCTTAACTTTTGAACTTGGAATTCAAAGTTAAGGACTAAGTGTCCTTAATTTTTGGAACTTGTAAGCCAAAGTTCAGGACCAAATGTCCTTAACTTTTGAACTTGGAATTTGAAGTTCAGGACCAAGTGTCCTTAACTTTTTAACTTGTAACTCAAAGTTAAGGACCAAGTGTCCTTAACTTTTGAACTTGGAATTCAAAGTTAAGAACCTATTATCCTTAACTTTTGAACTTGGAATTCAAACTTCAGGACTCATTGTCCTTAACTTTTGAACTTGTAACTGTAAGTTCAGGACCTATAGTCCTTAACTTTTGAGCTTGTTAGTCTAAGTTCACGACCAAGTGTCCTTAACTTTTGAATTTGTAACTCTAAGTTAAAGACTGTCTGTTCTTAATTTCTATGTTTGTAACTCTAAGTTAAGGACCAAATATTCTTAATTTTAGAATTTCCAATTATAAGTTTAGGACCTACATAAAAAAAAAAAAAAAGAATTTGATTCTTTGAAATATGAAAACTCAATTGGTATTCTGGCAACTAATCTTCCACTTCCAAAAAACAGCCTAAGACCATTAATTCACTCCACAAAATATCTTCAAAACCTCTTTCAACAAATACCCCATTTGCACTGATTTTTGTTTGTGAATATCTCAAACAAAGAAAGGAGAAACACTTGTTTGTGTTTTTCCTTTTATTTTCTTGTATTTTCCAGCTAAAAATTATAGATTAAATGAACTAACTTCCTCTGCAAGAGCCACGCCCAGCTTGATTAGTTCTTAATAAAGAAACAAGAGCTGAGAAGCGAGGGTTTGAGAAGAAAAACAATGGAAGAAAGGGTAAAAATGTCTTTTCATATTAATTTTAATAGAATAGTGACTATTTTTTCTCAACATTAGAATTGCTGGATAAAAAATAAATACCACCTTAAATAGTGGCTACCCCATGCCATTTTTACAAGAACATACTTCATAATCTGTTTTTTTTGGTCATAACATACTTCATAATCTCAAAATAGAGAAAATTTACCAAAAATTAGTTTCGACGGAAGAAAAGAAATCAATTTGTTTATTTCTATAATATTTATAGTTTAAAAAATAAGTGTGGTTTTGTACCACAAATCCAAAATGGCAAGATGTAATATGCAATTAAATAAATATTGGAAATTGTTCGGGAGTATACGGTCAATAGGCATAGCAATGGGATTTTTACCTATTTATGGAATTATAAATTTATTTATTCCTCTTAAAGAAATTATCACTTAATTACGTTCTCATATACATATACATATAATTAGATTCTCTCCCCCTCTCCCTTTTTCTCAGGTATATTTATCCATAAGTGTTAAATTAAATGGAATAAGAGAGTAACAAACTTCAACCAGTACAAGAATATTTAATTTTCCCAACCTTTCCAGCCACTCAGTGTGTGTGATGAGAAGCACGCCTTTTGTCATGTCATGGCCATTAGTTGACCTCTATGAAGATCTTATAAGCCAAAATTAATTATGAAGGATTTAATAAGCCAACAATTTACAAATTATGATAAGATGTGAGGTAAGCTAACATCGTGATCTTTGGAACAGCATGCAAGGTGAACATCATTAAAAATATCAAGCTTTGAATTCGAAAATTAAATTTTATGAAATTATTAGTACTTATTTGGATTGGTATTATTACAAATGATTGAAAATATTCTTTGGAATTTATATCTCGATTTTTAGAAAATTTGGTGAACATTCGAGTAGAATTTAGTTGGAATTTCATATTGAAACTCAAAAGGAAAAGACATAATTAAATTGTATATATTTAGTATGTCAGGTGTACAAGCGACATATAAAATATATACAACTAATATAATTATATACTTATTGTTATATAAGTTGTAAAATTATACTCCATCCGTTTCAGTCTATGTGAACCTATTTCTTTTTTGGCCCGTTCCAAAAAGAATGACCCCTTTCTAAATTTGGAAACAATTTAGTTTAAACTTACAATTTTACCCTTAATGAGAAGTTCTTATAACCACACAAATACTCTGGTCCCTTTTTAACTTGTTTAGGACCACGAATTACAAAAGTCTTATTTTTTTCTTAAATTTTGTGCCCGGTCAAACAAGTTCACATAAATTGGAATATAGGGAGTAATTTTTTATCGAACTATGTAAAACAAAAATCTCTGTATAAGTTATTTATGAGTTGTATGTAAATTGCAGTTTTTGATCGGATTCTGTACAATAAAAAATTATTGTCGTATATAAAATACATTTTGACCAGATTTCTATTGTGAGCACGTACTTTTTGCCCCATATATAAATTACTCCTAAAAAATATTTAAAATAATTTTAATTGTTTTGTAGAAATTTAGGTATTTTATTTGTGTATTTGATTGTATTTTTATCATATGAGTAGATCATTTGCATCATTAGGAATATTCTAAAACCATCAAAAAATATCCCCCCCCCCCCACAACGTATACAAGAATATTCACAACAGCAATAAATGAAACAATCTCAATAAGATAGATATTTCAACAATAACCAACATCGTCTCAATGTTTTAACAACTTTCACTATTTCAACACCAAATAACTCAATAATGGGAGAAATATGCATAACCACAATATNAATTACATAGATATTTGATTAAAATACAAGAATATATTAGTCATTTTTATTTTTGCATCTTCCTTGCATTATTTAGTTAGTATCAAGTAGTTAATTAGTTTAAATGGTAAATGGAATAGGCATCAAATTTTTAATTTTGTCAAAATAGGTTCAATTTAGGTGTTAATTAAAGATGGTTAATTTTGCAAAATCTAATCCTACGGTTTGCAACTAACCACACCAAACCGTTATAACTGTCCGAAAATTCCCCCTAACCCCCAAAGGCCCCTCATTCTTCATCTCTCTCATCTCGCATCCCAAGCCCTAGCCGCCCCTAAATTCCCAAATCCCTCACTAACGGCTCACCTCCAAATCCACCCAAATTAACACCCCACAATACTCACACCCTGCTAATCCCTAATCCTCGCCCATTTCCCCAGAAAATCACCCAAACTTCCCTATGATTGCTTGGTCCGCTTTTGTCCTCGACACCTGAGTTTAAGGGGTTCGTTTGTGCAGGATGCCTTATTTTTTCTGGAAGTTTTGACTCTCATGAGTCTTCTCTTCCAAGAAAATTCGGTCAGAACTCCATTTCGGGCCGAATTCCTTGGAGGAAAGAACCTTTGGGTGGTTAAATTGTGTAGAATAAGGCATCGCAACTCTTCTTGTTTTTGTCTACTCAGAGATGGTAAGACCGTCGCTACTGTCTTTCCCATGATTTTCTTTTTTTACTTGAATTGTCTTAGTTTCAATTATTACATACACTGTTAACCTGTTTTTTTTGGGAATTACCCGTTTTTTACTTATGATTCTATAATTTTCTAGTTGTTTTAATTAGGTTTATTTTCTTTAGGTTTGTTAGATATCGATTTGTTTGGTCTTAGCATGTTAATTCAAATAGGATTTAAAAGTAATTAATTCTGTGCTTATTAATTAGATTAGCAATTATCAGTTTTCAATCTTCTCTTAATTTTATTTTTCAGTTGGTTGATTGATTGCATAAGCTTGGTTTTGTTCAAATCATTAAGTCCATGCCTTGCTTGTTTATTGATTGAAGTGATCAGTTATTTCTGAGTTCAGTTGGTTTTAATCCGCATTAGCAATTGATTTTAAGTATGAAAATCTTAGAAAGTTTAAGAGAGAATTTAGAAAAAGTTTAAATGGAGGAATGGTTATTAACAAGAACTTAAGGGGGGGTAATTGGGAAAGCAAAGATAGGAAATCTGAATTAGTTATATGGGAAGTTTCTAGAAAGGGGTTAAAATGTAATAAAAACCAGAAATCAGGCTAGAAATTGGGGTAAAAAAGGTTAATTTCAGAAAAGGAAAGGTGCTGGAAAAAATAGAGAAAAGGACAGCTGGTAGAAAAGAGGACAGCTGTCCAAATCTATTAAGAAAAGATGCCCTTTTTCCTTATTTTAAGTACTGCACTCCTCAGATTATTCACTGGCCATTTTTCTATATAAGACCTCACATCCCTGCATACACACACACACACAAATCCTTTGAAAAATCCAGAATCCTTTTTTTCATTTTGACACTGATTTTTACACTGATTTCTGAAAGAAAAATACTCTAAAAAGTTCCATCAAGCTGAGATTTGAGGCTGTTTCTTTTGTTTTGTTGCTGTTGATCTTGCTGAATTCATCTTGTGTCGATTTTTCTTATCCTTTAGGTGGCAGAAGTTTCAGTTTGTTCCAAGCTCAGGTACATATCTAGAAACCTGTATGGCTTTGGATTTTTCATTATCAAACTTCTCCATTTTCTTCTATGAGATATGGATATGTTGTTGCTTTCATGTGATGTTTTATGCTTAGTTTGTTTGGTATGCTTGTTTGGTTAAGTTGATATTGGAATTTGAATCATGCTTCTAGTTGTCACGTACAATCAGCTTATAAAAAACTGAAACTTATTAAGATCTTGATGAATGATGATTTCTTTCTGTGGTTTATGATATTGGTATGTTTAGTTTAATCTATCTTTGTTTCTCCTAATGAGCATATGATTCTCTTGGTTAGTTTTAGGAGAAATATGGGAGCTATGTTGACCCAATAACTGGGCTGGTTGGTTATTGATTGTTCACTCATCTGAATGTAAAGTTATTGCTAGCTAAGAATTAACATGAGCCCATGAGTTTCAAAATAAACATGTCTATTAGCGCTGTTTTCTGTACACATATGAGGGTACAGTTGTGAATCATAAGTTTCAATTTGAAACCAAACGTGCGGTTGATTATGAGTTAGTGGCTCCAGATTTATATGTTGTAATATTGTTCAAGTCAAAAGAAAAGTAGAAGGCGTTTGGTTCATAGCATTGTCTGTTAGTATAAGTAAGGATTTAAGTTAACTCCCTCTGTTCCTTTCAGCTATATAATAATTTTAGTTCTAATATTTATGTATTAATGTATAAGAAAATCTGTAACTGATGTTGTTATTTCTGATGTTTGCAAAATTACATTGAGAAGCCATGTTGATTAATTGGGCTGGGCAGTTGGCCCATATAGGGTTATTTAGCTAATTTAAAAAGGACTTGAAATTCTGCATGTATTTGGGCTCAATATGGAACCCATTTAAGAATTTGGACCCGTCTCATGATCAGGCCAATTGTTGCAGAAGGGTGGGGACGACTTGGGCCTCACTTTGGCCCATGTGTACTTCATATTTTGGCTTGTTTGAAACCTCAACGCAAGATTATAATTGTGCAGTTTAGGGCTATCATTTGGAATATTAGCCAACTAATTTGATTGATCAATTAGTTGATTGTTATAAAATAGAACCAAACATTTGCTACACTTTGCCCCTTCATTATGTGTGTTTGTTTACTTCATGGACAAAATATCGCATGCCTCCATTTTAAATAAGATTCAACTCATGTCTCCAAAATTCGATGCCCATACTAATACTACCTAACGAGAATCAGAAATGTGGTGAATACATTCATTTCATAGGATGCTTTAGGCACGTTCTAATCTATTATTGTGATTGTGTACACGTTCGTGTGACATAATTACGATTCCCAAAATTAATCAAGGTATGCGTTTGTACGACTTTGGCCATAATAATCATAATAATAAAGCGTGATTAATCATGTACATGAACGTGTGACATGATTTTAGCGCCCAAAATAAAGCTGATTTACACACATGTAATCTATTTCAAAGATAAATCCATAAACACCATAATTAAAAGCAGTAAAAGGTAAAATGCACATATGTTCAAAAAATACGTAATTAAACAATTAGTTAAGCCAAGTATGATTAAAAGCGATCGTGCTAAAATTATCGAAAATATCTAACACCTTCTCCTAGGTTAACAGAATTCCTTACCTGGTCTTCTGGTTTTCGTGGATTTTGAAACAGAGTTAAATTTCCTCGATTTGGGATTTAAATTAAATCGGTGACTTGGGACATCATAAATTATTTCAAGTGGCGACTCTAAATTAAATAATTCCATTTCGATTAATATCACTGTAATTGAAAAAACTCCCTATTCCTCGAAAAAAAGAGGCGTGACAGCTCTGGCTGCTATGTTGGGGAACAAACCCATAATCTTTGGTTCAAGGTTCAGAACTTGAGCTTGTAATGTGATCTATACTTGGCTTTCTTGATTGTTGTTATTACTGTGTTTGTAGGCCTAAAGTGCTAAATTGCCACTCATTTACCGTTTTGATATTATTTGAACTGTATTAATGTCTTCTCAGGCCTCCCTTCCGAGTCTTCTAAAATATGGTGCACACGTATGAGGTTGGATCAACAACTAGGCCGGATAGACTTTCGTGCTCCCGGTACATTGCCCTCACCTCGGCCCAAGCGGTCCGCTTAGGTAAGCCCTGTCTAGAATACACCTCTAGGTTTTTAAACCTAGAATAACATAGCCTCATGCCGGATCCATAGTAGGAACTTTTGTTTACATCACATGCATTTGAGTTTGGGGACTCAACATAGGGGTTGGGTCCATCAAGGACATGTGTACCCGAAATAAAAGGTCATCTTGATGCATCTTACGTATTATTTGTGCATTTATTTATTTCGGCTTATATGTTGATCGGCTAGGGAAAGAAAATCAAGAGAAAACCAAAAGTGAGGTAGGAGAGAGAAATTTGCCCGATTCTAAAAAACCCCGGTATTTAAAAAAGTCTCGAAACTCTATCGAAATTTTGGAAAAAAAATTTAAAAAGAAAATCATTTCAAAATGAGTCAGTATCTTCAAAAAAAGGCATGTTTTTCTGTTGTGTCAAAACTAACCGAACTACACAAGTTTGATTCTCACCGGATGTGAGATACGTAGGCAACCTTCATAGGGTTCAGCCTCATTTTTGCAAAATAACCAAAAGTAATAAAGTGCGTCCGGTGTTTTGGTCAAATGAGTAAGCCGACCCAGCTTCGGTTGCGTCCCGAGTTGTTTTTGCCGGAATAGCCTTAGAACATCTCCAAATTTTCGAAGGGCTATTCTCGCAAGAACGAACATGTCTATCAATAGGGAATCACTTTTTCCCATAAAGTGCCCTTTCCCCGGCCTCAAACTTTATTTGAAAGTGTGAAGGGCCATTATTGCAAAAATAGCCACCTTTGCTTTAGGGCTAATACTTGCATAAATAGCCACCCTCCCTTTGATTTGTCCTTAGAAAATTGAAAGCTTGATTTGCAAAAAGAGTCCATTGGTTTGTCTTTTGAAACTAGAGTCAACCCTAAGCCTAACTATCCACCGGTACAAAATGAACACTGTCCAGAACCCGCCATTAACGGTTGTAGAGCAGGCTCCACTACAGCTTCAGATGCAGTGGTACGACTTAGATAAAAATGGTCAGGATTGGGTAACAAAGCATTTGGGCGCTCTTACAGATATTATGAAAGTCAAACCACATGATGATCTGATTAAGGCCTTAGTAACTTTCTGAAATCTCGCTCACAATGTTTTTCACTTCTCAAATTTTGAGCTTACTCCCCCTTTGGAAGAAATAGCCGGATATTCTGGTTTCGGCCGAGACTTGATAAATCAACAACTTATATTCCCAAGGCCTCTCTCTGTGCACCGATTCTTTTGATCTTCTGAATATCAATAAACAAATGAGGAAAAACAGTGTAAACAAAGGATGTTGTTCCTTTTACTTCCTATACTCCAAATTTGGGCACTCAACTGGGTTTGAAATACATAAAAAGGTCCTAAACAACAAGCAGAATAAGACCACATGGCAAATTCATCGTTGCTTTGCTTTCATGGTGGCGTTTCTGGAAATTATGGCCTTCCCAAATGAAGAACGGACAATTGATAACTGCATGGCCTGAATTGCGCAAGTCCTCACTACCAAAGAGGATTACACGCTTGCTCCAATTATTTTTGTAAAACATTTATCGAGCATCGACATTGCGTAAATCCAGGGCAAAGTTCTTCGAAGGGTACAATATTTTGTTGCAAATGTGGTTGATTGAACATCTCCGCCATCACCATAAATTCATGAGTTACGGCCCAAACAAGAACAACTTCATTGAGAATTATGAGGATAGGGTAAAGGATTATAATTCTCCAAAAGGGGTTAAAGCCTGGATATCCCATCTAAGATCTTTAAATGCAAGTCAAATTGAATGGATTTTGGGATTGCTCTCGGTAAGGGAAGTCATACACGTGACGGCTACAAAAAGCTATTTGTTGTTGATGGGTTTGAGAAGTGTCCAATCGTATAAACCGCATAGAGTTCTCAAACAGCTAGGAAGGTACCAAGTGGTGCCCGAAGATGAATATTTGAGTGTCCAAGTCATTGAGCTACGCCTAGAAGCTCCACTCTCTGATACTTTAATTCAACAAATTTGGAATGGCTACCGATACTTGAAAAATGATACCCAGGTGCCCAACCCCGCGAGAGGTGAGGTTGACCTAGGTTATGCTATATGGTTTGAGAAAAGGTCTCGCGTTGATGATGAGCCCGAGCCTTAAAGGCCCGCGAAAAGGCCTCTTATTCAGGCTTTTGATGATAAAATCCGAGAACAATTGGCATGGGGAGAAAAGGAAAAGGGCTACCAAGCAACCATTCATGCCTTAAAAGAAAAGCCGAGAAGCCTCAAATTTGAGAATGACTTGCAGAAGAAGCTGAAGGTGAAAAGAAAAGTTTAACCCGAGAGAATGAGGCGCTCCAAGCCCAACTCCGGGAAATGAGGATAGTCGCTGAAACGCCTATGAGGAGTGAGAGGGATGAAAGAATCATAAGCAACTTGAGGCTAAAGGTGCATGACTATGCAGCTGATCTGACAAAGGCCGAGGAAGACTTGGCAAAAGCTCGAGCAAAGTTGGAAAAAGGTGAAAAAGAACAGGCAAGGTCAGCCCACCAATTAAAGCAAATATATGATAGAGAAGTCACAATTTTAAGGAAAAAGCTGGCCACCCTCGAAAACAAAATGGGTCAGCAGACAAAGGACTTCAAAACAGAAAGATGCACTGATTAACCAATTGGAAGAAAGCACGGTGTAGTGGCAAAACCAAAACAATGAGGCCATGTAAATAGTAGAAGTTCGGGAGCAATAGATTGGGCGATTGCTCCAGGAGAAAGGCGCTATCAAGCTCAAAATCAAGGAAATAGCTTACTACGCGGCCATGAAGTACCATGAATGTGAAAATATACTCGAGCAATGTTCTTCCACTTGGTACTATTCGCTCGCCATATCATTGCCGACCTCGAGCTCCTTCAAGAAGAGCTTACAAGAAGACTTGCACCGAGACCAGCTGAAGCCACTCGAGCTCCTGGAATAACATTTGAGGCTCATTTGTGTTCTTGATTTTTCAGTTCTTGAGTTTGTACCTTTTATCGAGTTTGTTTGTCATGTCATCCATGTTGAGTCTGTTATTTTATTTTGAGTCTGTATGTTTTCCTTTTTTGAGTCAGTTATCAGTACATTCGAGTCTTTGTAATAAAAAAAACCAAAAATAATTATTAATGAAATTTTGAAAACCCCCAAAAATTTTCTTTTCTTTCATTTTGCATTTACTACCCTGAACTACATAATGGTTTGATTCATTCAACGTCATAATACGTAGGCAATCCCCATCGGATTCAATGCCATTAATTAAATTGAGTGAAAAAAGAAGAAGAAAGAAAAGGGTGACGAAAAATAACAGAGAAAAAAACAAGAGCGAAAAAACAACAAAAAGAGAAAGAAAAAAGAAATCAAGATATGAAGTGAATGGACGAAAAAAAGAGCTGCAGAAAGAAAAAGAGATAATGAAAAGCGGAATGAAACACGCGACCATTGCAAAGACATTTTAGAAACATTTAACTCTTCACGTGCATTGCATCCCCAATGTGTGATTCCCTATTTGTTAAATGTCTTAAAACTGACAAGGGCATTGTGTGTCCAAAATTAGCCAGGTCTTGTTCAGATGGTTGGTTTTGACGGTAATCTAGCTTCTCATCGGTACTTTACAGGATCAAAAGGAAGAGTCTCAATGTCTTCAGAAAGCAGTCTCCGTATAATCGATCCTGAGGATAATGCTGCATCGGTTCTGTCACAGCATGAATCGGCCATTGTTGAAGAAAACAAGAGGTTGCGTCTCCGCATGTTGGAAATGTGGGACATATGGTCCAATTGTAGAGACCACCAAGTACAATCCCTGGATTTCCCGAGTTGATCCCCAGGACGGGTGGAACCACCAACATTCCCATCTCCATGACCAACCCATTTATCCCGTTTGGGTACCCTACTATGTCATCCAACTTTACCGGTACGTCTTCTGAGGTCCGTCCCTTGGCGCTGTTTTCAGGGGTACCTTCAACGTTGTTCACGGCACCACCAGTCTTCACCATGGCACAACTGATAAGTAAGGATTTTGACCGCTTGCTCTCTTTTACTTGCGTTTTAGCTAAAAAATGCTTAAAGGTATTCCTGAGAACTAACGAAATGTGCTTACTTGCAGGAATATTGGGAAACGAGCCAAAGAAGTCAAAATCAACTCATAAAAGAGTCACAAGTGAACAAGAGCCAAAACAAGGCAAAAAAGGCTAGTAGTGCGGCCGCAGAAGAGAGATTCAAAGAGCAGTGTTTTGGCCAGCTCAAGGATTGCGGACCGCACCAAAATTGTGCGGCCGTAGGAGGTCAAGTGCGACCGCAGTCATTATTATGCGGTCCGCAAGATTAAAGAATCAGAGAGCTGTTTCAAGTCCAAAAGCAAATGAGTGCGGACCACCTTACTTTTGTGCGGCCGCATAGTCAGAAGTGCGGCCGTACCCACTTTTATGCTGACCGCAGAGGTCTGAAGTTCCAAGACTAAATTCCCAAGACTGCGGACCGCACAATAAAATCAGAGAGCTGTTTCAAGGCCAAAAGCAGAAGAGTGCGGACCACATTACTTTTGTGCGGCCGTAGTCAAAAGTGCATCCGCACCCACTTTTATGCGGACCGCAAAGGCTTGAAGTTCCAAGCCTAATTCCCAAGACTACGGACCGCACAATAATTGTGTGGCCGCAGAAGCCCATTGTGAGGATCGCACCAGAATTATGCGGCTGCACAACCTTCGCAGGTCATTTTTGTCAGATATTTTCAGCTTAGTATAAATAGTACTTTTTGTCATTTTTAGGTTAAGTTCAGTTTCCAGAAGTGCACCTAAGCCGTTTTCTTTACTTCTTTGAGTAATTTTGTATTAGATTTACTTCTAGAGATTGGATTTTCTTTGTCTAGTCAATTATTGTGCATTCTATTTCAATTTCTTCTTGTATTTCTTTATTTTTCATGAGTAGCTAAATCTTTAGCTAGGGTTGTGACCCAACCCTAGTGTGGGTACTTGATGAGTATTTAATTTTAGGGCTTGTTTGTGATTGGATTAGTGATATTTAGCCTTGTTTATGCTTAAATTCTAGAATTAATTGTAAAGATAGACTAAGTTTAGAAAAACTTGGCTAACAAGGAATTGGGGTGAACTCAAGAAATTGATAGCCCCAATTAAAGGGTCAAATCTAGAGATACTAAGACCCAACTTGAGCATCACTTGATTTGTGCAATATCCATTTGGCTTGAGAAAGTCAAATTGGGCAAAATCACTCAAACTACCGAGATGTATAGAGTGAGCAATTGTGTGTGATTGCTATATTACGATCCCCATTAATCAAACTTGCCCTATAGTTTACAACCCTTTAGATAACTACCTAGGTAGAAGTCACGACTCTAGATCCTTTATCATTTTAAAAATAACCAAAATCAAAAGCATTGTCTTTTAGTTTATTATTTGCAAATAATAGTATAAAGTAGAAATAAAAACATCAAACAAGAATGTGGAAGTGCAAATTGAGGTACATTATACAATTACACTAGGTATACACCTAATCCTATTTCTAACTCCCTGAGGAATCGACCCCGACTCATATTGGGTTTTATTATTGCTTCGACTGCCTCACTACCTAATTGTGTGTGAGTTGGGTGACATCAATTTTTGGCGTTGTTGCCGGGGAGTTAAACAGATTTAGCTATATATCTAGGTTTTTGTGTGCTTTGTCTTATTTTCCTTCTAAGTCACTAATTTTGTTTTTGAATATCTTTTAGGTACGAAAATGGCTCTCAACAATGAGCCCATCAGAAATGTGCCATTGGGGGAGGAATTGGATGATGATCAAGTTGAGGAGGTTCCTCTTGAACCTCAAGCAAATAGACTAGGCCGCCTGCCTCTAAATAATGTTCCCGTCCCTCCCCCACCTCCACCAAGAGCAGCAGCACACCGACAACTACCGAATAAGGGTTATGCAAGTGCTATAGTCCCGTTAATGCGGGCAACTTCCAAATCATCAATGTGATGCTTACACTACTTGAGCAATGAAGATTCTTCACCGGGGTTCCGAGTCAAAATGCCTATAAGCATATCAAAGGGTTCGTCGATATTTGTTGGGGGAGCAAGCAAACCAATGTCTCCGAAGATGCACTGCGGTTGAGGTTTTATCCCTTTTTTTTATACGGGGAAAGGAATTCGACTGGCTAGAGAGATTGCCCAATCATTCCATCCACACTTGGAATGAATTGGCGGAGAAGTTCATCCCTAAATTCTTCTCTCCGGGATATATGGCGACTCTTCGGGATGAAATTCTTGCGTTCAAGCAAGAATCCAATGAAACATTGCACGAGATTTGGGAAAGATATCATACCATGGTTAAAGAGTGCCCGAACAATGATTTGACTAAGGCCATGATCCAACAGACCTTCTACAGGGGAATCAACACAACAAACCAATGTGTGGTTAACCAACTCACCGGAGGGAACTTCATGAACACTCCATATGCCGAAGCATGTGAAATTCTTGATGAGATGGCGGATACCTCTTCAGCATGGAAAAGTAGACCAATGTTCCGCAAGGTAACCCTAATGTTATGCACTTACACAAGGAGCTACATGATCATGGGCAAGCTATTGCCAAGTTGACAACTACCATGAACCAATTGGCCAAAGCTCAGCTTCAACAAGTTCAAGGGCCGAAACAAGTGAATGTAATGGAAGGTGTGAATATGATGGCAAACAAGAGGCGACAACAAGGTCAACAAATGCAAAACCGTCCGGAACAATTCATGCAAAATGATAGTGGTTATGAACAAGGTGATTCATTCAATAAGCAAGAAGAAGAAGTTCAATATGTCAAACAATTATCAAGGTAAAAAAAACAATACTCAAGGACAAAATCAACAACAATGGAGGTCACAAGGGAACCAAGGTAATTGGAACAACCAAAACCACCAAGGCAATTGGAGTGGTGACAATCCTAATCAAGGCAACTAGAACAATCAAGGAAATCAAGGAAATTGGGATAATCAAGGCAATTGGGGTGACAACAATCAAAACAATTGGGGAGGAAATAACCAAGGAGGGTGGAAGAACAACAACAATCGGGGGTCAGGTTTTCAAAGGCCCCCGATGTTCCAACAACCAAGCAATCCACCTCCCTATCCTTCTCAAGGCCCAAGCTCTTCTTCCAATGATATGGGTAGAATTGAAAACATGTTTAAACAGATGATGGAGAAGAATCCCGACTCCGATGCTCAAATAGCCTCGCACAACACTTCTATTCGGAATTTGGAGGTTCAATTAGGCCAAATCTCACTAGCTTTGAACACTCGTCCTAAGGGGGCACTACCTAGTGATACGGTGGTGAACCCAAAGGATGGGAATAATACGGGACATGTTATGGCCGTAACTACTAGAAGTGGAAAAGGTGGAGATGCAACCACCTCAAATCAAAGAAGGATTGTGGATGAAGATGTTGTGGTTCAAGAAGATGAAATCCCAAGCAATATGGTTCAAGCTAATGAAGAAGTGAGAATTGACATAGATGAAAGTGTGGAGGAGACGCAAGAAGAGGTGAACCCGTCTAGGGAACACGTGCTAAGGCATCAACGCCAAGACCTCCTCCACCATACCCTCAAAGTCTTGCAAAGCAAAGTAGTGAGAACCAATTCAAAAAGTTTATTGATATGAAGAAGAGTGTGTCAATTAATGTGCCGTTGGTTGAGGCATTGGAACAAATGCCGGGATATGCAAAATTCATGAAGGATTTGGTAACCAAGAAAAGATCAATGAATTGTGAGACCTCATGATGACTCATCAAGTGAGTGTTATTGTGCACTCAATGGCTCCGAAGTTGGAAGATCCGGGCACTTTCACAATCCCTTACACTATTGGGAGCGCTGATTTTGCCAAAGCACTATGTGATCTCGGGGCAAGTATCAACTTGATGCCCTATTAGGTGTTCAAAACTTTGGGAATTGGACAACTAAGACCCACATCTATGAGGTTGCAAATGGCGGATCGAACAATGAAGAAGCTTTTGGGTATTATTGATGATATATTGGTTTGAGTTGACAAGTTCATCCTCCCAGCGGACTTTGCGATCCTTGATTGTGAAGTGGACTATGAGGTGCCTATCATTTTGGGTAGACCTTTCCTTGCTACGGTAAGGCTCTTGTTGATGTGGAAGTCGGTGAGCTTTCCGGGTGAGTGACGAAAAAGTGGTCTTCCATGTGTGCAAATTAATGAGGCCATCGAATAGCAATGAAGTTTGTTCGTTCGTGGATTTGGTGATGGATGTGATTGTTGATGATGCTAGTGCCTCAATGAACATTGAAGATAAATTGGAGGCCGTATTGCTTTACCTTGATAAGGATGAGGAGAGTGATGGCTATGTGGAGTATGTAAATGCATTGCAAGGCATGGGGTCGTACACTTATGAGCCCCGAAAGCTATCTTTGGATCTTGAAAATCAGAAGACTCTTCTAACAAAGCCCTCAATTGAGGAGCCTCCTACCTTGGAGCTAAAGCCATTGCCCCCGCACCTCAGGTATGAATTCCTTGGCTCTTCTTCTGCTTTACCGGTTATCCTTTCTTCTTGCTTTACTAATATGTAGGTAGAGTCCACATTGGAGGTGCTACAAAGGAGGAAAAGAGCAATCGGATGGACTTTGGCAGATATCCGGGGCATAAGCCCCACCTTTTACATGTACAAGATTATTTTGGACCCTCCGTTGAACATCAAAGGAGGCTAAATGAAGCAATTCAAGAGGTGGTCAAGAAGGAGATCATAAAGTGGTTGGATGCCGGCGTTGTATACTCCATATCCGATAGTTCATGGACTTCTCCGGTTCAATGTGTCCCAAAGAAAGGGGGAATGACCGTGGTTACCAATGACAAGAGCGTCTTTATTCCTACAAGGACGGTGACCAGTTGGAGGGTGTGTATAGACTATCACAAGCTCAACAAAGTTACAAGAAAAGATCATTTCTCACTTCCCTTCCTTGATCAAATGCTTGATAGGTTGGCCGGGCGTGCTTTCTATTGTTTCCTCGATGGGTATTCCAGCTACAATCAAATTCTCATTGCTCCGGAGGATCAAGAAAAGACTACCTTCACTTGTCTCTATGGTACTTTTGCATTCTCACGGATGCCCTTTGGTTTATGTAATGCACCGACGACTTTTCAATGGTGTATGATGGCCATTTTTACCGACATAGTGGAGGATATTCTTGTGGTCTTCATGGATGATTTCTCTGTGGTTGGAAACCCTTTTGATGATTGCTTGAACAATTTGGATAGGGTCTTGGCTAGATGTGAGGAGACTAATTTGGTGTTGAATTGGGAGAAATGTCACTTCATGGTTGAGAAAGGCATTGTTCTTGGCCACAAAATTTCAAAGCATGGTATTGAGGTTGATAAGGCCAAGATTGCGGTGATCTCCAAACTTCATCCCCCTATATCCGTGAAGGGAGTGAGTAGCTTCTTGGGTCATCGGGTTTGTATCGCCGATTCATCAAGTATTTTTCCAAGGTGGTAAACCCATTGTGCAAACTTTTGGAGAAGGATGTCAAGTTCATTTCAATGAAGATTGTATGGAGGCATTCGAGTTGCTTAAGTTCAAGTTGACTACTACTCCTACTATTACCGCACCGGATTGGAGCTTGCCTTTTGAGCTCAAGTGTGATGCTAGTGATGTTGCGGTTGGAGCGGTGTTGGGTCAAAGAATCAATAAAATCTTCCATCCGGTCTACTATGCTAGCAAGACCATGAATGATGCCCAAGTCAACTACACAGTGATCGAAAAAGAGCTACTTGCTATTGTCTTTGCTATGGAGAAGTTTTGGCCGTATTTGATGGGTACTAAGGTGACTGTTCACATCGATCATGCGGCGCTTCGGTATTTGATGAGCAAGAAAGATTCTAAGGCAAGGTTGATGTGGTAGGTGCTTCTATTGCAAGAGTTTGATCTAGAGATTCAAGACCGCAAGAGTAGTGAAAACCAAGTGGCGGATCACTTGTCCCGATTGGAGGAGGAGGGAGTCCACATGACGGCCTTGAGATCAATGATTCATTTTCCGACGAGCAACTCCTAGCCGTTTCAATGATTGGGATGCCATGGTTTGCCGATTTAGCCAACTATCTTGTGAGCGACATTGTCCCAAATGAGTTCTCTTTAAACCAAAGGAAGAAGCTCAAACGAAATTGCCTTGACTATTATTGGGATGAGCCGTATCTCTTTCGGATATGTACCGATGGTATGATCCGGCAATGCGTGCCGGATGAAGAACAAATGGGTATTCCTGAGGCTTGCCACTCTTCACCGTATGGTGGTCACCATGTTGGAGCAAGAACAGTGGCAAAAGTTTTGAGTTGTGGATTCTATTGGTCTACGCTCTACAAGGATGCTAGTTAGCTTGTCAAGCATTGTGATGAATGTCAAAGGGCCGGTGGGATCTCTAAGAAGAATGAAATGCCTCTCACCACCATTTTGAAGATAGACATCTTCGACGTGTGGGGTATTGATCTCATGGGTCCATTTGTTAGTTCTTGTGGGAGCACCTACATTCTAGTCAGTTGATTATGTTTCCAAATGGTCGAGGCCATTGCTTTACCCAACAATGAAGCGAGGAGTTTGGTGGCATTCTTAAAGAAAAGCATCTTTACAATGTTTGGTACTTTGAGGGCCATTATTAGTGATGGGGGTTCGCATTTTTGCAACCGAGCTTTGATACCTTACTCAGAAAGTATGGTGTCACTCACAAAGTATCGACCCCCTACCATCCTCAAGCAAGCGGGCAAGTTAAAGTCTCCAAGCGGGAGATCTAGAGTATTTTGTCAAAGACTGTCAATGCCAACCGGACGGATTGGTCAAGAAAACTTGATGATGCTCTTTGGGCTTATAGGACGGCCTACAAGACGTCGATTGGGATGTATCCATATCAATTGGTGTTTGGGAAGGCGTGCCATATTCCGGTAGAACTCAAATATAAGGCCATGTGGGCTTTGAAAAAGTTGAACCTTGAGTGAGATGTCGCAGCAAACCTGAGGGTGTCACAATTGAATGAGCTTGATGAATTTCGGTATCATGCCTACATAAGTTCGTCCCTTTACAAGGCGAAGATGAAGTACCTCCATGACAAGTACATCCACAACAAGGAGTTCAAAGAAGGTGATCTTGTGCTATTGTTCAATTTCCGATTAAAGATGTTTCCGGGCAAGTTGAAATCAAAAAGGAGTGGGCCCTTTGAAGTAGTGAATGTAACCCCCTTTGGTGCTCTAGATTTGAAAAATAAGAATGATAAGGTTTTTAGAGTCAATGGGCACCGGGTTAAACATTATCTTGGCAAGGTTGATCATGGCCACATTGTGGCGGTTCTTCATTTCAAGTGATTGGTAATCTGCGTCGTGCCGCGATGTTAAATCAGGCGCTTCTTGGTAGGCAACCCATTTCTTTTTCTTTCTTTTATTTTTCTTCTTTTAGATAGGCTTGGTTTTGTGCTAACCAGTTTTGAAGTGTATGCAGAAATGGATGTGCATTGCAAGGACTGTGCATGAAAAATTTGGCTAAGTGTCAAAGTGCATAGTCTCTGAAGTTGGCCTGTCAAAATGCTTAAGGAATTGCGGCCGCACACATTTTTATGCTGTCCGCACTAATGCTACGGCCGTACTCATTTTTGTGCGGTCTGCAACCAGTCGTCTCAAGGGCAGGTAAGGAGTGCGGTTCGCATCAAAATTATGCGGCCGCACTCAGGTAAAAAATTGGGTCCCACGGGTAAAAGTATAAATAGGGCTTCCTGCATCTTTTTAGACTTTTCGATCTTCTAAGCCCTGAAGCTAAGCTTGCAAAGTAATTTTTCCCCATTGCTCTCAAAATTTTCCCTCATTTCATCACCTGCATCTTCATTACTGGTATGTTAATTTCTTCATTAGATTCTTCATCTTTTGTTTGCTTTTGCTCTTTGATTTAGGGTTAATTACATGCTTAAAATGTCAATGTTTAGTTGTTTTTGCTTAGAATCATGAGGGTAGCTTTTCGAACGATAATTGGGGTTTGGGTAAGTAACTAATAATGTTTAATTGCTAAAATCATGACAATTTGAGGACAAAATTGAATAAACCCTAGGACATGCCCATAAAGTTTGAATTATGCGACGCACACATTTTTTGTGCGGTCCGCAGTAGAGGCTATGCGTCCGCACACACTTTTGTGTGGTCCGTAGACCTCTGAGTTAGGATAATGGCGTGCTTGGCTTGTGCGGCCGCACCCAAAATTGTGCGGTCCGCAATGGACTTGCGTGGCCGCACTCATTTTTGTGCGATCCACAGTGATGAAAATTCAGAGAACCTAGTAGTCTGAACCTGGGGCTGTGCAGTCGCAGACAAAATTGTGCGGTCCGCACTTTTGGCTATGCGTCTGAACTCATTTTTGTGCGGTCCACACCGGGCAGACTGCGGCCGCACTCAGTTGTGCGGTCTGCATTGCCCCTTCTAAGAATGTTTTGTTGTAACATTCTATCATGTTTATGTATGCATTATGAGCTTCAATTGTAACTAATTTCTAGTTCTTATGGGTTGCAAACAATGGTTCAATCACGTGGCAAAGAAGATATAGCAAAAGGAAGGGCAGAACCCTCCCGAGGCCGGGGTCGAGGTAAAAGCAACCTCCTCTAGCACCTTAAAGAGTCATAACCAAGAAACCAACCACAAGCAGAGCCCCTGATACCTCGAAGACCAGTGAGTATGTCCCATCCGGGGAAGCTTCTGAGGGTAACTCCGTGCAAGCACAGTCGGAAGCCCAATCACAACAAATCCCAGGGAGATTCCATTTGGTCGATGAGTCTTCTTCAGCTGCCAGTTCGTCTGAAGGCTCGAAAGAGTGTAGTCAAGATTCTGAGCCCTCTTCCTCACATGCTCCCCCTGCTCCAATAAATTTAGATGATGATGATGTTCCAGATGATGGGAGAGGGGGCGATATTGCAGTGGCCGGGTTAGAAAGATCAAGGAGGCCAGAGATATGGGAGGACAAATTTGTCAGTGCCAATGCCTTTACCAAGTTTAGGGAATGGTGGCCATAGAGGTCGCTCACTCTTGAGCGACAATTTTTGATGAAAGATTTGAACAAGCACAACCTCAATGTCCTTAGGCAATTCGAGGAGCGGAAAGGTTGGAAATGGTTCACCAACACCATCCTAGATGCAAATGAGTACCTAGTCAAGGAATTCTATGCAAATGTTGCTCATATAAAAAAGGGTACTAAGGTGACAAAAATGCAGAATCTGAAAATCCGCTTTGACCCCTGTGCACTGAAAAAATATGTGGGGTTTGAAGAAGTAGAAGTAGTGCAATACTTGGAAAAACTAGCTATGGGTGATGCAACTCGTCCATGGTTAGCTGAGATTATGGTCAACACCTCCGTGGCTCACAGCAAGGGTTCCAATTATCCGGGTCACCCTAAACTTTGAAGCAAAAGGGTGAAAAATGTTCGTGTGTGGCCGCATTGACCCATGTATCAATGAAAACATGCTCCGACTTCCCCGTGCAGTCTTGGTGGCTTCGATTATGGCCAGGTACCCGATAAATGTTGGTGCCATCATGTCCACCAACATCACTCTAGTTGTCTAGAAGGATGAAAGATCCTATCCATACCCAAAATTCCTCACTGAATACTTCAAGGATCAAGGGGTGGAGTCGAAGCATTATGATACAGAAGTGAAGGCCGAGAAGCCTTTCTCCTGGTACCATCTTCAGGGAGCTGACAACCCGAAATCCAAGGGTAAAGCTACTACCTCCACTGGCCAGTCTGGAGAGCTAGCAATAGTGGTTATTGATTCAGCTATCAAGCCTTCCACATCAGCCGGTACTTCCACCAGGACAACAACCATGCCACCATCTTCATCCACCGGACCACCTGCTTCTGCGAGTCTATCAATGTCATTGCCAGTGTCGGCTTCATCTACATATTCTCAGACTGAGCTGTGAGTCTCCCAAACATTGGTAAGCCTTAATAACTGGATGCAGGCAGCTATTACAAAGATAACTGCTATATCTAGTGATGTTGCAGCATAGTCCGCAGCCCCAGCAGAGCCAGAAGTACCTCCGTTAGTGGAGGAAACATTGAAAAAGATACTGGAAAACCAGAAAACCATTATGAATACTCCAGTGGAGCATGAGAAGGTCATTGAGGACTTGAGAAAGCAAGTAAAAAAGATGAAGAAGTCTCAAGTATCGAAGAGATCAGTGGACAAGTTGATAAGGGAGGTCACTAAGTTTGCATCTGCCGGAGATCTGCCATTGGACCTGCTTATGGAGCCTTCAGTCCCAGCAGCAAAAGGCAGCACCAGAGGCAGCAGCCGGCCAGTCTGAGGAGCCGGTTGCCACTTCCCACACTGCTGAGGAGATGATCCAAATGCTCAGCAACCCAGTTGTCCCTCAGCCAGGTGATGATGAGATACAGCTTGAGGCCGAGGTTGCTGATGATCCTATGCATACTGAGATCACATAGGGATTTCTCTCAACTATATGGCCCTTTCCCTGTTCTTATTTTTGTTAAGCATTGAGGATAATGCTTATTTTCATTTGGGCGGGGGTGGTCTATTTTGATTATTTGACATTTGGGTTGTAATAACTCTGATACTATTTTTTTCATCTTTATTTTCCTTTGGTATGTATATATTTTCCCCATTTGATGTAGATATTCATTTTCCTTATGTATATATTCATTTGATATCGATTTGTTTATTCATTTATCTCGCTTTCCGTAGTTTATTTCATAACTTCTCTAGTTTGCTTTTCCTTAGTAGTATATCTTCTTATTTACTTTAGTAGCTTATTTTTAATCTGCTAGCTTCTTTTTACATTTTGAGTGAACAATAAGCTTTTAGTTTTCTTAATGTCACGGTTCTTTCCAAAGGTGGATTATGTATGAACCGGGTGGCTCTTCCCAACGATGGATGGCGTGACAACCTTCTTAAGGGATTGAGCCCATTTTCTTTTATGTTTTGGTAAATATAGTAGTATTGAATAAAAGGGGTCTCAAGCATGCTTCACTTGGTACCAACATATTTACCTATGATCGTATGGTTAAAAATAAGTTGTTGGCTTAAAATAGCTCTAGTTGTGACTCTTTTGACACTTGTGTTGACTTAAGTAGTCATCTAGTGGTTCAAATCGAGCCATTTGTGATTCTCAATCTTAGCTAGGGTTGTTGTGGACCCTCAACTCTGTTTTCTTTAGCATTCCAGAAGCGTGAGAGGTGAGATGTTTAGATACAAGTCCAAGTACCTGTGCTAATGGTCTAGAACTTGCCCCAAATGTTTGTCTAGGAGAAATTCTAAGTGTAGCTTGGCTTGATAAATGATTGTAGGCTCTCCTTGATCCAAAATTGAAATTTAAAATCTTCCATAGCCTACCAATATAATATCCCAGTCAACCCCTTCGAGCCTAAGCCCTTTTTCTTTTAATAACCACGTTACAAGCCTTTATCCGTTTTGTATTGACTCTCTCTTAGCACCCAATCTTTCCTTAGCATTCTTGAGAAACAATTGGTAGAAACATAAGTTTGGGAGAGATACAAGGAGATTGAAGTGATATAACGTACAAAGAAGACAATGAAATGAAGAAAAGGGAAGACAAAAAAAAGAAAGAAAGAACAAAAAGAAAAATGCCAAAAAGAAAGTGAATAAAGTGAAAGAGTTGAAGGGAATTCAAAAGAAAACAACGATGAAAGTCATGGAGTAAATATAAAAGGAGAAAAATGAATTGTCATGATCAAGAAAGAGTGACATTATGTCTCTCTAATTCCCCTGAGGAAATAGAAAATGACTTAAAGAGTCGAGAAAGTATGAGCCGAAAAGAGAAAATAGAGTGCTTAAGGAAAGATGAAACCATTATATTCCAACAAGTCCTACTATGATCCAAAAGCCTTCATTACATTCCGCAAAAGCCCTACATGATTTCAGGTTAAGTGAGCTTACATTAGTGGTGATTTACATGAGGGGAAAGCTTATGGTACTTAAAGCCGGACTTGTGACGTTCATTTGAGAGAGATGGGCGAACTTTTCACAATCCTTGCTTCGAGTGTTGCATTCTTAAGTGAGATTTGCTAATGGAGAGTAGAAGAGGAAGAGTGTGGGATCCACAATGACCTATATGAAAGAGCGAGCTTCCTTGATGAATAGAGTCAACTCTTGATGCTCTAGTGTCACACTATAACTATTGTACTCAAAAGGTCAAATCATTGCGTTATTGATAATTTATATGTGTTGTGGGTAATTGTTGGTCCCAATTGATGTGTAATTGATTCACCTTAGGCTAGCTGAAATATCCCTTTTTTTAATGGAGGTGGGAATTGCCTTAATTTCTTGAGGACAAGCAAAAGCTTAAGTCTGGAAGAGTTGATAAGTAGAGATTTTGACCGCTTACTTGCTCTCTTTTACTTGCGTTTTAGCTCAAAAATGCTTAAAGGTATTCCAGGAAACTAACAAAATATGCTTACTTGCAGGAATATTGGGAAACGAGCCAAAGAAGTCAAAATCAACTCATAAAAGAGTCAAAAGTGAACAAGAAACAAAATAGGGCAAAAAAGGCTAGCAGAGCAGACCACACAATTCTAGTGCGGCCGTAGAAGGGAGATTCAAAGAGTAGTGTTTTGGCCAGCTCAAGGAGTGTGGAGTGCATCGAAATTGTGCGGTCGTAGTAGGTCAAGTGTGTCCGCAATCATTATTATGCGTTCCGCAAGATTAGAGAATCAGAGAGCTGTTTTAAGTCCAAAAGCAGAAGAGTGTGGATCACATCACTTTTGTGCGACCGCATAGTCAGAAGTGTAGCCGCACCCACTTTTATGCGGACCGTAGAGGCCTGAAGTTCCAAGCCCAAATTCCCAAGACTGCGGACCGAACAATAATTGTGCAGCCACAGAAGCCCATTGTACGGACCGCACCAGAATTATGCGGCCGCACAATCTTCGTAGGGGCATTTTTGTCAGATATTTTTAGCTTAGTATAAATAGTACTTTTTGTCATTTTTAGGTTAAGTTCAGTTTCCAAAAGTGCACCTGAGCCATTTTCTTTACTTCTTTGAGTAATTTTGTATTAGATTTACTTCTAAACATTAGATTTTCTTTGTCTAATCAATTAGTATGCATTCTATTTCAATTTCTTCTTGTATTTCTTTATTTTTCATGAGTAGCTAAATCATTAGCTAGGGTTGTGACCCAACCGTAGTGTGGGTACTTAATGAGTATTTAATTTTAGGGCTTGTTTGTGATTGAGTTAGTGATATTTAGCCTTGTTTATGCTTGAATTCTAGAATTAATGGTTGCAAACATTGATTCATGCTTATTTGACCTAGTCTTTACTTGAGAAAGAGAGACTAAGTTTAAGAAAATTTGGCTAACAAGGAATTGGGGTGAACTCAAGAAATTGAAAGCCCCAATTAAAGGGTCAAATCTAGAGATAGTACGACCCGACTTGAGCATCTATCACTTGATTTGTGCAATACCCATTTGGGCTTGAGAAAGCCAAATTAGGCCAAATCACTCAAACTACCGAGAGGTATAGAGTGACCAATTGCGTGTGATTGTTATATTATGATCCCGATTAATCAAACTTGCCCTATAGTTTACAATCCGTTAGGTATCCACCTAGGTGGAAGTCACGATCCTAGATCCTTTATCATTTGAAAAACAACCAAAATAAAAATTATTGTCTTCTAGTTTATTATTTGCAAACAATAGTATAAAGTAGAAATAGAAATATCAAACAAGAAAGTGGAAATGCAAATTGAGGCACATTATACAATTACACTAGGTATACACCTAATCCCATTTCTAACTCCCTAAGAAATCAACCCCGACTCGCGTTGGGTTTTATTATTGCTTCGACCACCTCACTACCTAATTGTGGTGTGAGTTTGGGCAGCATCAACAACCAACCGTGCCCCGTCCATACTTTGAGCCTTTAACATTCACCTTCCAAGGCCTGCAATTTCAGCCGGACATAACTCATATTACTCCAGACTCATACGCTCAACAACCATAATATGAGTCCACAATTGAACAAGAAAGAGTAGTTGGGAACCCCTAGAAGGAATAAATGGCTCGAAAAATGAGAAACTTAGGACAAAGCTTAAAAAACATGCAAGGCCTGAGTGGCCAAAAAAGTGTTTCCTATTTAGAGTTGTGCATGTTCCCAAATGTTCATCTACCTATCGGCTTCAAAATGCCAAAGTTTGAAAAGTATGATGGGCACGAAGATCCAATTGCTCATCTTAAAAGATACTGCAATCAGCTACGAGGGGCTGGTGGGAAAAAGAATTGTTGATGGCCTATTCCGGAGAAAGCCTGACAGGAATCACTTCAGAATGGTATATGGATCAGGAAATCTCCCATTGGCACATATGTGATGATTTATCTCGAGATTTTGTCAGACAGTTCTAGTACAATGTCGACGTAGCTCCAGACAGAAACTCCCTTACTAACTTGAAGAAGAAGACCGCGGAAAGTTTTTGCGAGAACGCTATCAAATGGCGCGAGCAGGACACTAGAGAAAACTTGCCCATGGACGAAACAAAAATGGTTATAGTCTTCTTGCAGGCCCAAGAGGCTGATTATTTTCAGAATATGATGTCCGCCATGGGCAAACCATTTGTGGAAGCAATCAAAATCGGGGAAATGGTAGAGAACGGTCTGAAAACTAGCTGGATATTGAGTCAAGCTGCTTTGAAAGCTACCTCCCAAGCCATCTAGAACGGCTCAAGGGGTTTGGCTAGTCGTAAAAAGGGGGAGGAAGGAGCCATAATAGCTTCAGGTTCAAAAGGGCCCCGCCGATCATTTGATCACTCTTACATGGCGTCAAGAACCCCATAACACTACTATCTACACCAAGATGCAGCTTATGCCGTGGCATCGCCTCACTATGCAATGATAAACGCCCAACCTTACGCACGAGCACAACATCATTACAGTCAAGCCCGAGCTCCACTTCCTAAAAATAACCATCCCTATCAAGCCCCGTATAACCCCCATCTACCACAAAGCACACATCAACACAATCCACGCCCTTGTGAGCCTCCCAGGAGAAACAATTTCACCTCTATTGGTGAATCTTATTCCAGTTTGCTTCAGAAGTCGACCCAACTGGGTCTGTTGCAAAATTCCGAATCCCCATCATACTGGGGTGGTACCAAGTGTACTTACCATTGGGTAGTAGACGACCACGATACAAAAGATTGTTGGACCCTCAAAAGGGCGATTGAAAGCTTGATAGAACAAAAAAGAGTTGTGTTGAGGGACGAGAAAGTCCCTAATGTGACCAACAATCCATTACCGGCTCACAACAATGGGCCGGTCATTGGAATGATTTATGACGACAAGGAATTTGATCAAGCATTGAAAGTCATCATTGTCATCGCCGATTCAGAGGCAAGACCCAAAGCGGTGGCGAAACATGCCAAAACTGAGAAGAAAATCACTCTGGTTCCTCAAGCTGTAGAAACAAAGACTAGGGCAGGCTAAGAACGTGGTTCTTTATGTTCCTAAGGCCCTGAGAAAAGAACAACTCATCCTAAACACTCCCAAGAAATTCAAGTAAAGGAAGGCTACGTTGAATGTGCCAAGATTATATGTGCCAAAGGGGACCTACGTAGTGCGGGGCCGATAATTTCACCAAGGCTGACTGAGCCCGTCATTATCAGCTGCGCACCATAGAGT